TTCTTCATTCTGTATTTTTGCATGACTTGATATTTTTATATCACAGGCGTTTAAACAAAAGTGTATCATATATCAGTTTTTCTCCAAACTCCAAACCATTGTACATGCAATAATCACTTAATTCAGATATTTTCTTTATATTTTTAACAGGTAGTCACAGTGACTTTTGTACCAATGAATATTCATAGAGTGAAATTGCCAGAAATCAAAACCTTAAAAAGTGGTCATTTAAACCTTGGATTTAAGAAAAATTGGAACTAACCCTAACATGATTTTTGTGCTTTTGTTCATTGATCCTGATGGTTTTTGATGATTCCAAGTTTTCCTTTTTCTGTCTCTGGCAATTTTCACTGAGTTACACAGGTAGTCACATTGACTTTCCAAATAGTACAAAATCACAAATAATTCTACAGTATATTATAATTCTCTTGTCATTTTTCAGTCAATGATCCATGTGCCAGTAGTCCTTGCCAGAATGGAGGTCTGTGTCAGTCACAGATGGGTAACTGCAATCAGTATAACTGTGTGTGTCAAGGCTGTTACACTGGACTAACATGTGCCACATGTAAGTACCTTCAACTCTCATCAATGTATCAATAGATGTATACTTAATACTCCTACTAGTTATAAATGTGTTGAAACTAATGGATGTCATCTTTCACTGAACCATTAATGATGCACAAAGATCTCATGTATACCCAATGCTACCTGTTGATTCATTTGTCTATTTCTTTTGATTACAGTGTCTCATGGATGTGAACCATTCAATCCATGTCTGAACAATGGTGTATGTCAGCCGGTACAAGGATCATGCGACTCTTACACCTGTTCATGTCCAGGATGCTATACTGGCGCTAACTGTGAAAACAGTAAGTGAAAATTGAGTTTTCATAATCTTGCTTGTATCATCATAGATAAAAGGCAAGGTATATGAGGGGGGAATGTCTGTTCTTTGTTGTTGTTATTATTGTTGTTGTTGTCAGCTTTTAGAATCTGTCCTGTTATTAGAGTGTCATAGTAGTTATGGAGTGAAAGATTCAATTTTGTGTAAAAAAAAAAAATAACTTATATCAGACCCCAATCAAACAAACATTTCACAACTGTATCATTTTATATTTGGGCCAAGCCTACACAGACATATTTGATCATATCTCAAATCACATTTGTTTTAACTAATAAAGTGGTATTTTTTTTTTGAAGGAATTGACCAATGCCAACCTAGTCCTTGTGCAAATGGTGGTGTATGTATCCCCACTGCTAATTCCTGTACACAGTTTTCTTGCACATGTCCAGGCTGCTATACTGGATTCCTTTGTGATACGTGTAAGTAAAAACAAATTTTTTCACTTTCATTTTTTATTTCTGATGTGTGGTACGTTGGTTAGCGTGTCAGCCCACCATCTTTGAGATTGCGGGCTTGACACTTGTGGTCAGCTGCTCACTCTGCAGTGAAAAAAAGAGTACTTACTGCCCACTTGCCTTTCTTGCTGCATTCAGGGTTGGGAATATGGCGTCCAGTCGGATGGGGACGTGAAGTTGTCTGCCCCATGTGCTGTTCCTGTTCTCGGTGCATGTAAAAATAACAGTATCAAATTATGTTGCAGATTACCACAGAATAAGTGGAACTTACCCTAATATGGAAATTATTAATGAGTTATATAATCCTATTGGTTACCTTTTAAATTAAAAAAAATTATAAATTTCATAAATGATTTATCTCTGCAATCAAGTATAATAAATATATATTTTTTTCTGAATTGATTGATTGATTGATTGATAAATGTTAATTGAATATTTCAGTATTGGACCCTTGTGCATTCAACCCATGTCTGAATGGTGGTCAATGTCAGCAGGTGCCTGGATCATGTACAGACTTTACTTGTGTATGCAGTGGATGTTACACCGGCACCACATGCAATCAACGTAAGTAGTGTAACAAACTCTTCCCATGAACATAACTTTGTTTTTTTGTCAGTTTCTTTTTATAATGTGGATATTTTTGTAGAATGAAAAAAAAACATTTTCCTGTGTATTTGTAAATTCTCAATATGTTGTTGTGTTTCTATTTCTCCAGTGATCAACCCATGTCAGTCGCAGCCATGTCAGAACTTCGGTCAGTGTACTGTAGTTGCCAACTCGTGTACGGAGGTCACTTGTACATGTACTGGATGTTATACTGGGTCATTTTGTGAAATACGTAAGTATGGTTCATGCACAAATAAATGACCATTCAATGATGGTCGATTTGAGGCTGTTTACAAGGAAATACTCTTGGTTTTTACTTCAGTTATCACATTTTATTTCATAAATTTATATTTGCAGTACTCGATCCATGTACTCCCAATCCATGCAGCAGTGGTGGTCAGTGTACCAAACTAGGGTGTAATGATTATCTTTGTGACTGTCCAGCCTGTTATACAGGACCAAACTGCCTACAACGTGAGTATATTTACCTCCCATTATGCAAAATCAATGTGGTTAGGTTCGGTTGGCCACATTCCAACTTGAGTAGGATTTCAGCGGAACTTGAACTTGAACTCTCACAAATCAATTGATAACATAAACTGCATTTATTTGCGAATGAAACTCTTCAACGAAAGTGTAAACTTCTGATAAATACATAAACTTGTAGAACTGACCCACAGTTGAGCACAAACTAAAAACTGGAACAGAACTGCCGTTTAAGTTTTAAAAGGCAAATAGAACATTACAGCGTTTTTCACTCAGTTGGAGATTAACCAATCAGTGACTGCGTACTGAATCAATAAATGAAATGTCAGTCAACACCTATGGCTTATTATGGTTTTCAACGATAATCAACAATAAATTTACTGAAAGATGCCAGTGTCTTAACAGAATAAGTGATGGAATGTTTGATAAATTTCTTCTTGTAAACTTGTTTCACTTTCAATTTCAGAGATCAACCTCTGCCAAACCCAGAACTACTGTCAGAATAGCGGCGCATGCACGATGAATGCCGACTGCACTGGAATACAATGTCAATGTCCGTCGTGTTACACTGGTCCTTACTGCCAGTCTATCGTCAATGTCTGTGAACAGCAAAACCCATGTCGAAATGGAGGTCTGTGTACCAGTAATTGTCCAGATTACTCCTGTCAGTGTGGTGCTTGTTGGACTGGGAGTACATGTGAGATTCCTGTGGATCTATGTGCAACCGTACCCTGTCAAAATGGCGGTACATGTACCAACTTCTGTACTTCCTATATCTGCAGCTGTCCCAGCTGTTATACTGGTACTAACTGTAACATAGGTAAGACTTGTCTATATACGACTTGCGCAATGGTACAATGACCACCTCACAGCAGTGAGTTTTATTTTTTGTCGTTTGACTCTGGAAGTATAGTCTACCCTGTCTTCCAAACATCACATGTATATTAGATTTGTGACTATATAACTTATGATTTGCTTCAAAAATAACAACAACAAAAAAGCATCAGGAGAGACAGCAGTGAATTCAATGTCTGAAAATATTGCCTTACATAAAAATATATATATTTGAAAAAAAAATTAAATACTGATATCTACATTAGAGTGATTTCAATTTTATATCAATTAAGTCAATTTATTAATCAAACATATTGCAACTATGTAACTTAAGTATAAAAAAAGTATTTAATTTATTAAGTTTGTTATCTCATTTGTTAACATTATATGGTATTTACTGTTCTTTGCAGCCATTGATCCATGTACTACCAATTCCTGTCAGAATGGTGGCACTTGTATGGCAGTGCCTGGATCGTGTACAGACTTCACATGTACATGTCCATCATGTTGGTCTGGACCAAGGTGTAACATTCGTAAGTATAATCACATTTCAGTTTCTTGCACCCAGTTAAATTATCACTGATATTGAATATGTGAAAAGTTTTTGTTTCTTCCAATCTGTGTTCTACATATTCTGTGGCTATACATATGACGATATGATGTCTCTTATTAAAGTTTTTGTTTCTGCGAAATTAAACACTTATTTATTTCTGCCAAATATTATAGTTCATCAATTTAATTTCATTGTTTTTTATCAGCTGTGAATGTATGCGCTACAAACCTGTGTCAGAACGGTGGCACATGCATACCAGTGTTTGGTGACCTAACCTGTACACAGTATCAGTGTAACTGTGCGGGCTGCTTTACTGGACCTTACTGTGAAAATTGTAAGTAGTGACTTCCAATCAGAAAAATAGTTACAGTACTTGCCAATATGATAAGAAGTGATATGATGC